TAAAACATGAGATATGACAATGTTTACAAACTTCACAGCTGACAGTAATATCAGTGACCCCAACAAAAAATTTACTTATCATGGCCTACTTTCAGTTTTCCGTCAGAAAATATTTCAGCCATGTAACTCAGCGACTTGCATCAGCCAATCCACTTCTTGCAGCAACAATTAATATTATTGTTAGATGCTTAAAAGATTATTTTGTACCTATTTAAAAACAAAGTATGAGACAGTGGGCTTATGAATATTCTTACCCTTTCAATAACCTTTCAATTACAGTACGACAGCATAAAAAAATGTCATAGCTATGCCCCTAATGACTGAAATTTATAAATATTTAATCAAGCACTAATAATTTTAAAAGGCAAAGCTACTAAAACTTATTTTAAATTTTAACTGTTAATCTAACCTGCTTGTACAAAAAAATACATCATCTCAGAAAACTGCAATGTGGGACACCCCAATGTCATTATTCTCAATCCTGAAACATGGAAGATTCCAATGTCCTCTGTCAGCCCAATCATGGTCTCCAGCTGCCTTTGTTTGTCAGGAAAATTTGTTCACTACATTTAAAACAAAGGCTTGTCTGGCCAAGTTGTTTTATGCATGGGTATGCATGATGTAACATGTAACCAAATGACAATCCTGTTGAAAATATATACACACTCATATACTATGATCAGACACTCCTTCCTGTCTCTTCCCCTCTTACTGTTTCGCAACTCAAGCTCAGAGTTATTTTGCATCCATTGGGTTGAGACCACGAAAGATTGAAACGCGCAATATAATCGAAGATCGATTACAGGTTCGATATAATAAATAGCGACATAACTCTCGTATATTTAGGCAGTAGTACGCCATGACTGCTGGTAACAAAGAACTCGCTGTATTATCTTCTTATTCATATAAACTCCACAGATAATGACTAATAAAAATTATTCTTGTGGGATGTATCTCAGCAGGTTGTTCGTGGGTTTCAATTCTCTTCCGTCCCCGTTTGTCTGCAATCGCTACAGTGTGGCCAACACTTCGCTCACTATCGATCAAAAAGTTGTTCATATAACCTACAAGTTACTGAGCGTTCGATTAATAAATTATTTGTAATTTTAATACTCATTATACAGAATGTTTCTCAAATACATAGTACCTCTTTATGGAAGTATTCCATAGACTGAGTCCTTGGTCATTTCGTCTTTAAGTTATGGTCCATTTCACTTTGGGTGGAGGATAAAGAATTAAGTGTGGTGATCTAACAGGCCGTGGCTCGAAAACATAGCGTCCAGAGACCACATGTTTATATGAATATTACTCGTTGTTTTATACACCTAAAGTGGTGCTGTATATTTCATTATAAACCTGTATATATATCACTGAAATGTAATTTACGAATAATAACTCTAGAAATAAACTAATTGTCAATAAAACATGAAAATTATCCATAGATATCCTGTGGGTTTGTTTCACCTGTGACGATATTCATCACCATTTGAAATAATACAAAGTAATACAATGGTTTACTGTAAAAAACACGCAGTTCCTGTTTATTACTGGGATCGAACCCCGGCATCTGAACTCTATAAATTACTACAGCACAGGTCAGGATGTTCACTGCTATGCCTCAGCTGGAAGCAGATGTACGAGTTTATTTATATTTATTTCAGTTGCAAATTTTATGCACTTAACAAGAAATAGTTCATGAATACTGACCTTCTGGTGCATTTGACCTCAGTGAATCAAGATATAAGCACAGCGTCACCGTTAAATGCATGCCATATAAAATATATCAAATTAAAGTTTTAAATTAGGCGTCCAAGACATTTTTTCGTCTAAACCAAAGTGGAACATTAATCACTGTCGTCACTAAATCACGTAACGCGTCCCCAACTTGAGTCGCATCCATCTAATCCACAAATCCACACCTGGACCATCTTAACATTATAGTGACATATAGAGTGTAGGTTTAAGAAATACTCTCTTTAGTTGAAAATTTACTACCAAAATTTCGTATGTATTTCTAACCTCCTCTATACGTTCTACACGTCCTGTAATCTCATCCTACTTCGTATAATCACCGTAGCAATATTAGTGGAAATTTAGTAGTTGTGAAATTCCTCATGACGTAATTTTCTCAAGTCTTTTATTTCTTATTTCATAAGTTAAAGCATCTTTCTGAGTGTCAATCTAAGTTCCTCCCTAAAAGCGAGTAACCGAGTTTACGTTCAGTGTTCACAAAACACAATATCTGTTATTTCAGACATTATATTTTTACACTTGAATCTAGGGTGGGAACGAATACAATTAATATTTAATAATATAATTTTTGTCTTTGTTCTCAGACATTAGCGAAGTGACTAGAATTCCAACCAGCATCTGTTTATTTATTCATAAGTAGTTACTTGTATTGTTTAGATTTACATCTGAAAAGTGAACAAATTTCGTGTATTTGCAGACAATCAACTGTAGTAGTAACACGAGAACAGGTACTAGCAATTTATAATACGAAATTCATATAAATAATATTTAAAAATTCAGTATATACCTCAAAACACAACACGTCTTCACTACAAAGATCGATTCTTTAATTCTGTTCAGGGAACTTATTCTGAAAATCATACGAGAATTCGTAAATCGATTCCTCGAGAAAAAAATCGAGGTTTTTCAATAAGAAAGCGAGTGATCGTTCCGCATTTCCGGTTGTGATTTTAAGGGCTAACTCACGTTTCTGTTTCCTTCCGTCTCGGTGATTTGTCGGAAAGGGTGAGCAACGGGAGACGTTCTTCCTCAATCCCCTTCATGTCTGCTAATGCAAGTCAATCTTATCTTCTCCCACTAAGCGCCTTGTTCTTTACCCACTGAACCTCAGGACTGAACTGAGTTCAATAACTGAACTGCAGTGCCAATGGAAAAGCGTAATTTCTGAATCTGATAACGTCGTCACTTGTCTGTGATTCATTCGCTGTAGCTCGGACACAGATCTTGAAACGGACTGCATCAAATCAAAATTATATTCAGGAAGTTTGCTTTATAATACGTCATCAGGAAACCACGACGGATTGAAATTGAATAGGACCTTCTGGTCTAGCGGTCAGAACGCTGGCCTTGTAATCCTGGGGGTCTCGGGTTCGAATTTATAACTTGTGTTGGGCAAGGCCGTGGTCTAGGCAACACGGAGTTTTCCTCCGTGGCATCCCAACAATTACTCCATTCACACACAGAAGAAGGCAATGGCAAACCACTTCTGGATCGTCTGCCAAGAACGTATATGAACAGGTCCCAGTCCGAGAAAAGGATGGAAGGATCCTGTTCATATGGACCTGTCGTCAGACAGAACACTAAATAATAATAATAAAAACATAAATGACGGGAAAACACAGAAATTGACTCGAGCAAGGAGGTTGGCCTAGAAGTAGACACAGAGAAATCTTGTTGTATGTTGATGTCTCGTCACCAGAATTCAGGGGAAAATCTTAAGATGAAGACAGCTGATGGATCCTTTGAAAATGTGGCAGAGTTCGGATGTTTTGGGGCGACAGTAACAAATCGAAATTTGATTCATGAGGAAATTAAGAACGGATTTAATCCGGGTAACAGAAACTTCCGTCTTCTTGCCTGCTGTCTAAAAACGTAAAGATTAAAATACACAAAACGAAATTATTTGCCTGTAGGTCTGTATGGGTGTGAAACTTGGTCTCTGACAAGAAGGGTGGAACGAAGAATGATGATTTTTTTAGAACAGGGTGCAGAGGGGGGGACATCTGCACAGAACGTGATAAAATAATCTAAACTTCACACAGTGAGGAGTTTCAGAATTTGCACCATTCACCAAATGTTACTAATTAAAAAAAACGAACAATTAGGGTAAGATTGGCGGGACGTGTAGCACGCATAGAACGACAATAGCTTAATTCAAACGTCCAGTCGGAAAATCTGAAGAGACGACATGATAATGAACCTTAGAGTTTCCCATAGGGCAGGGAACGTCTTGTCCAGAAGAGCGATTTTAAGTTTTTCAAGGTCACTAGCCCTTGGACTCAATTATCACTTGATTTTGTTGTTGTAATTCCAAATTAAGGCCGTGTAGTCTTTTGGATACTATCCGACGTTTCAGAGGAGTTCAATACCACCTGAAACTTCTATAAATATCTGCCAGAATACACGATGCGATATCTGAGAGCTTTGAATCTCACTTTTCCCTCGTTATCAATGCGAGTGACGGAATATTTTGAAATCTGTTCCCCTCTGATGCCATGGAAATGATATTTTATTGAATTAATAAGTCGAATAGACTAAAATTTACCGCTTATATCTACGACGTTACGCCCCGGCTACGGGACACCAGACTTCCGTAACATTAAACACGTGATTCGGCCGGAGGATTGAGAACTTTGCTGCTATCTCAGAGATACGCGCGTTGCTACGCGCTGAGTTTACGATCTCAGCGCCGGTCAAAAATCTCGTCTTACTCTCAGATTATGATTAATTAAACAACGCCAATGCAACAACGAGTTACGAAAACAAATAAAAATAAAATGATAATTTTAAGATTCTTAACTTCTTCAAAACTTCTATAATAAACTCCATTCTCAACCGTAAACTAACCAGTGAAAGTAAAGAGTACAGCCTGTCTCAAAACTATATTCACCACATTACAACTTCGAAGGACAAGGCTTCCGTATCATTTTGTTTGCAATTGGCGTAGATTTTAATTTCTCCCCAAAAAATTTCTGGATCCAGCATTCCTTAGACAAACACGTAGAAAGAAACGTGTTCACTGACAGTTCAGCAAATCGTATCGACCGCTGTCGGCCTCTGCCTTAAAGCTTTGACCGGGATGTTCTTTTGTTAAATCTTATGTGGTACCGCCTGATTCGACTTCTAATGGTTAAGTGAAGTGTTTTCTTCGCGGTACGGTCTGGATTCGTAAATAATATTCAGACGAGCTTCGGCTTCAAAGGGTTAACCAGCTGATTTTCGTAATGGTGAGGTGTAGTGTTTTCTTCGCGGTACGGACTGAATTCATAAATAATATTCAGACCTTCGGCCTCTGCCTTAAACGCAACCAGGCCTTTGAATACGAGGTCGTTGACTGTTCACAAACTTCAAATAAATGTACTCGCGAAACTTCGCTTTTTAATGAACAGAGTTTAGAGTCGTATTTCGTACCTTCCGTGCCTCCATCCCTTGTCAGAATCCACTGCACTGTAAACCGTGGGAACACGATCAAAGCGAACAGCTGCTTCCCCGATTTCATCGGGATTAAACTGTTGAGAACAAGCACATTAATCATTAGCCTGACAAATGTTTTGGTTGTGAGCATCGCAGTCCTCAATCTGGCATTTACACTTTTCTTATAGTATGGTAAAATTTTACCGATGTTTCGGACGTCCTCACTGCCTCCATCATCAGGGCGATCGCCCTGATGATGGAGTAACCTGTGCTTTGAAGTCAGTTTCAAGAGTACGAAGTAATAGAATTCAAGGTTCAAAAGTCACAGCGACTCCATGGAGCAAGACTTTTGAGTTTAGTGATTCAGCAAGATCTTCCATGGTTTTTCTCAAGACATTGACGTTTCCTCTCAATAGATTACGTGTTTACAGACTGTGGTAGTTTGTTATATATATATTTTAAATGACGTCGTTAACGACGTACGATTCTGAGTTTTGTAACATTATTCGTCGTATACGGAAATAAGATAACGATGATAGTGAGAAAAGTAATTGTGATTAACATAATTATGATGTTCAGAGTAAACATGATACAAAATTTGAAATAAAATAAGATGATAGGATCAGATAGGAGCAGCACTGTGTGAGGAACTCGAGATCGGTAATCAGAGGAAATGCTGGAACGTTGGCTATACCTGTCGTTTGCACCGTCACAAACAGACGAGTAAACTGACATAGAGGTTAAAGTCGACTACGTATGCGGAATAAATATGATATTTCAAAAGACATGCAGACGACTCAACCTCTCAATTAAGGACAGAGGCAATTCCTAAAATCAGTTCAACACTGATAACAGCCAGTTACTGTCAATATTGACTATATATATATTGACCGAAGTCCGATATAAAATCCGTTTTTCACTGTTTCGGACTTTGTCTGGTCATTATCAACTTTGTAATGAATTCAGCGTCTTGGACAGACTTACAAGTAGGGACTGAATAAACTTGAGGCTCACATGTAGAATCTGTAACAATGCCACTTCGTTCTAAAATACACCACAGTTTTATAAAAAGGGTTATTTTACTTGCCTTTGCAGAACTGAATTTATTATGATTTCTTCATAACCTATTTGTGTGCTTTTGTTATCAAACAAAGTGCATATAGGACAGAATTAACAATTGACGTGAGAGGAACGTCTGTCACTCTTACCAACTTCGAAATCTCTCTCTTTTTTTGTCCTGTAATTTATAACAGGTAAATACAAGTACATCCTGAATGCTACGTCGACGTTAAGGTCAGCCAGTCCCATTTTGGGTCATCTAACAAGATTCATACGTCAATGGACTGAAGACGGTGTACCATCAAAACATTTCGCAAACTACAGATATTTCAACGAGAAAGAACTGTTGACCTACAATGATAGCATCTCTAAGATTCTCTTTGCTACAGAAAAATTATCGATGCTTTAAAATGCGATAATAAAAAGCAATGATGCGCTTCTATCGATTTGTACTCAAATGTTCGATTGTCAAAGAAAATTAGTAATTTGTCCTCGTTATTAGTTCGAACGCATTGGGATTCAAACACTTTCGCCCGGCACAGAAATCAGGAACGTTTTTAACCCTCGGAGTGAACAGTTTACAGCTTAACCCAAACGGGGCCTCTTATTTTCCCCTAGTCAAGGATTACCTAATGGCAGCCTTGGTACAAGTCTGTGACGGTACGAAGCCGTGTATACAACGTGACAATTGTTGAACGCAACCGGCAGTCTGATGTAACACTATTGTTGTACAATTCAAAGTTATCCTATTAATACTTGTTCATGCCAATCACAAAACACGATAGGCTACTTAACAATGGACGAAAATTATGAGACTTCCAAACAAGCTGCTGGAACGAGTAACATACCAATACAAAAGATAGTGTAATTGCGTCATATTGTGAATATTATAACAATTATTTATTTTAATCCGTCTGATCACAATATAATTTTATTTAAAATTTCTTATAATTAAGATAATAAAATATCATTCATGTTCCATATCGATTGATCGATTTACATTTCGGAACATTTACACAACATGTTTCGGTTTTTATAAAACCATCATCAGGTGTAAAATATATCTAAGAACTTAAAACTCAATTATGATTTCTGTAGTTTTTTGGTGATGTTTCATTACGTTTGTTTTTCCATTTTTGGGCGAAGGTGTTGTTTTTCTTAAATGTTATTAGATGTACATATCGGCCAAAGATGTAGGAGTGAGTAAAACAAGATGAATAGAAATAAATAAACAAGTGATATAAGACCATCATTCTGTCTTTGCTTGCGAATATGTGAAGGCTCTGAACATCTTAACTAACCAAATTTCTCAAGTCTGACCTAAACTTTAGCCGCGTTGTAAGCAGGTATCTGATACGACCGACGATGAGTGTAATTAGGCTTAGTGATTATCTCAATAGTTGATGGAATGCAACTCCACTGAAGGCACAGGACTTTTCCTCTCAGTAAAGATTTATCTGGATAACATTTGTAGGCCTGTACGGAATGAACAAAAACCTATCGCCGAATCATAAATTATATTAGGGCCTGGAAGGTTTGACATTCCCGATTCGACTTACGTTCCTAGTGGGTTAGGTCTAGTAAATTTCTAAATAATGTACGGAAATCAGCCCGCAACCACTTAACCTCACTTTCCTTCCTGATCAATCATTCAGCTACATTCGACGCTACATAACCTCTACAGTCGCCATGTCAACTAGGAATTGTGTCCCCTAACTCATAATACAGAATAAAGATTGATATTTACTTACCTTCAGCAACGAATCGCGCTGTTCTGCTTCGGTTTCCTTAATCCTGCCATCTTCCATGTTCTGAACAAAAGTTTCTTATTCATCCACCATTCATGTCGCGTGTTGTGAATCAACTTGTCTCGTTTGAGGTAAAGGAATATAAGAAATGAAATCACCTGGTGGTGACCTTGGGTGCACTCTGGCGTGAAGTGCATACTTAACCACGGACACGTCATTTATAACTTCAAATTCACGACTCACGAATACGACGACACGCTGACATTGTAACGGGGACCATGCAGCTTCGAATCCTGACGTCGCACTGCACAAACCTGTACCCACTGTTTGGAGTACACGAAACTTCCAAATGCGTTCTACACGCCACACACTGCCTAATATTCTTCGTAAATTTAGAGCATATAATAAATGACAATTAATAAGAACAGACTTCCATTTTATATCTCTATTATTTCATGTATCCACATATTTACAAACTAATGTTCTTATATCCTTAGAAAATCTCAATATATTCTGGTAGGTAGCCAAGATATCCACGGTGGTCTAGCGGTTAGAACGCTGGCCTTGTAATCCTGGGGTCTCGGGTTCGATTCCCGGCGGTGCCCGAATTTATAACTTGTGTTGGGCAAGGCCGTGGTCTAGGCAACACGGAGTTTTCCTCCGTGGCATCCCAACAATTACTCCATTCACACACAGAAGAAGGCAATGGCAAACCACTTCTGGATCATCTGCCAAGAACGTATATGAACAGGTCCCAGTCCGAGAAAAGGATGGAAGGATCCTGTTCATATGGACCTGTCGTCACACAGAACACTAAATAATAATAATAATAATAAAAAGGTAGCCAAGTTGCTGATAGATTGCGGTACTCATATTTCATGACATGAAATGGGTGTTGTCTGGTAGCAGTTTACCGACGTTTCAGAGGTACTTGCCAGAACACAGCAGTCTTGATTACCCCACGTAAAATTCATTCATGGTCTTGAATCTTTCTCACTGTGAACATAGCCACGGGGTCTTTCAAAGGATCGTATTCTCTTGCAGGAATACAATGACACGCCTCCGCAGTGCAGTTTAAATTCTTAGCGGATTCAATCAAATTTTCTTTTCTGAGTTCTAGAAGAAATAATTTCGACTCGACAACGAGGAGTCCTCCGTCACACGCCATTCGCGTGAGATCTTCGGTTAGGAACTGAGTCATATTTTGTGCCAGTGTAATGACGTGAAAGAAATCCTTAAACTTGTCTTTCTTCGGGAATTCAGTGAGAGCTGAAATCGGGAGGAAAGTCACTTGGGCTGATTGAGTAGGAATCGCAGAATATTTTTCCTTTACGGAAATCGCCTTTCTTTTCCTATCGATTTCAGTCTTTCGATCGCAGTCGCCAGATTCAGGCAAATCGTACGCAGGTTCCGCCTTCCAGTTCTCTGTGTCTGTGGCTTCCTTGATGACAAGACCTTGGGAAGTTTCGTCCGTCAGCCTGTTAGGACACAGTCCATTTTTTATATAACACAACACTGACAGGGACAATATGGTACATGCCTTCTCCGACAATAGCCCACGACCTAGATGAACTGAACTGATTCTGAGTCCAATTGAGGGCTTTTAAGATCAAGGCGATTAACAGCAAGAAATTTAATGATCAACTGCTGATCTTAGATAAGGAGTTAGCCAAATATTAATTAGTAAGCCATTGTCGTGAATTCTACATTTTAAGATTAAGACATTTCGAACTACGCGTCGTATAAGACTCAAAAATGTTTTCTTATGCCAAAGGCCCATTTCGCTACTGAGCACGCGAAGTCTTTGGATAGAACATCGACTTCCGCTGTCACAATAACCATAAAAAAGGAAACATTCATGATCCGTGCAAGATTCAAACCCAGGATTCATGTTAAAACGACCCCAAAACCGTAATAAATGCTCAGACGATGGGTATGAATCATGGAGTTTGAACAATAAACTGCAATGCACTTACAAAAAAAATACTGTGGCCATTTTGATGTCACCATTAGCAAAATTAATCGATACAGTTATCGATTAATTCCTAACTCTCGACTGAATACAGGCTGTTAAAAATACACACACAAAATATACCTGCACGTATGTAATCAGTTAATCAAAAACTAGTTATACTTATTCAGATCTATAAATAACGGAATATCAAGAGAGAAACGTGAAATTAAAGGAAACCAGACCTTGGTGGAACGAATGGCTGCTGATAGACCAACTCGTGCATCATTCTGATTAAGTTCCGTTCCGCGACGTCAGATGTCCTTTGCGACTGGACGCCGTTTACGAGTCTAACCATGTCTTTGTCCTCGCAGTCCAGGCTGTAGGCGATGAATGGCCCAGTGACGATGTCACCGAGGTAGCCATGATGACACAGTCTGTCGCCGACCTAGCGTAAGACAACACAAGTAACGACAATGGAACGCAGAATTACACGGGCCAACAATAGCCTAGGATTCGAGATTTTACTAAACTGGTAATATATTTTAATATTTTCCGTCAAATCACAATTTTAATAAGATAATAAAATATTTAAAATATCATTTCACGTTCCGCATCGAATGATCGATTTTTGTAAAAATTGTGATTTGACGGAAAATATTAA